TCAGTGCAGCTGCCAGTATACAAACCAGATGAAAGATGGAAGCTTCCAGGGTGCTTTGAAGTCTGCAACACGTATATGTGTTGCTTCTGTGGAGCTATTGAGATCTGATTTAAAAACCTTTGCTTTCATAAACAATTTTTGTCTCAGATGTGAATTTCAGATTTCCTTTTTCATCTGTAGCATGCTATATATAACTGTTACAGTTCTGAAGATACTGAGCCACTAGACAGGTCTCATAACTGTCGTGTGCAATTCTGACTCTTGCTTAGAGCTCAAAGCAAAATATTTTTATTTTCCAGTTTTTTCCAATATGCCTAGCTTAGCTAATACATATCTTGTTACAAAAAGTAGCAGCTGAACATCAATTGCTTATAATATTTTGAGTGAAGAGGTAGAACATGGGAAAGCTATTAGTCGCAAGAATGGTTTTTTCCCTTTGAGAAGGTACTCTTTGAGAACATCATCTGATTATCATCTTCTGTGATACGTATTTAAATAGATGGCTTTGCAAAGCTGCGGTTATACTTTATGCATGTTCAAAAAGTAGTAGAGGAAAGGAATTGGTCTCCAGGTAACCCATCTTTTCAAATGCTTCAAGAGCTTTCAAATTGTATGTAAAGTCAGATTTAAAAAGGAAAAGAAAGAGGAAGAGCTGTCTATTTTTAAAGCATTGTACTGGATTTAGAAGATCCAGGCTGAGACTCCAGCTCTCCGATAGGCTTTCTACGTTACCTTTGGTAGGTTACTGGAACAGAGAGTTGGAAAACTGCCAAATTGTTCTTTCATCAGGAAGGCTGGGTGTGTTGAAACTGGTATAACAGTGTATTGATCACCGTAAGAGTGCTGTTTCTGGTTTGAATGAGTGTATGTGTGCTCTTACACGTGCCTTATACTCAAAAACCCCATGGTTGGGCATTTGATGACAAGGTCCCAGGAGAGATGACCTTCTGTTTGATTACAACCAAAGATTTGAACCTGTTTTGGAGGTAGTACCTGAACAAGGGAGGGCTTTAGCTCTTCTGGGCGTGGCGTAACATTGATGTCTCTTTCCCCTCTCAAAAGATCTTACTTTTGTTTTGCTGCAGCATGGGAAGGATTTTGAGATATCAGACTCCTTTGTAGCAGGAAAAGCAATTTTTATGTTGAGCTTTGTGAATTGCTTAACATCTCAGAGCTTCTATACCCAATCTGTAAAATGAAAGTAGAAGGATTATTTTGTTTTGTTTCCTCAGTCACTGCCTGCGTTTGAACTGTAAGCTCTTTGGGGTAAATCATGTGTACAAATTAAGAGATTTAACTTTGAACACAAATAATTTGCTGTAGTGGCTGTGCTCGATGGTGTTGCATGTCCTGGAGAAGGCAGGATAGTTCCCTGTCCCAAGAAGGCAAGGTGAGGGATGCAGATGTAGCTGACAAGCAAAAGAAATACTGTGCTGTAAACTATTATCACTTCGGGAGTGGGAAGAAATAAAAACTGAAAAGAAGAGAAAGATATAGTGATGCAAGTAGGAGAGATGAAGCAATCAGGTGGAAAGGAGATCCAGGGTAAGAGAAACAGAAAGCCAGAAGCCCATCGGCACACTGCAGGGAAGCATGTCTGCTGTTTGGGACATTCAGTAAGTCTCCAGACCTCCTGGGACCTTTCTTCAGTGTCCCGGACTGCGCAGTGAAGAGGAAGGAAGGCACTGCCCCAAGCTTAAGTTTCCACTGTCTGCTGCTTATTTCTGTATCCACGGATGATTTTGCACAGAATAGATCTTTGCTCCAGTGGCAGCACCTGCTGCTGTGGGCTGTCGCCATGGGCTGTGACTGCTTGTGCATTTAAAGCAGTCAGTAGCAGCCTTGTTGGCATCACAGGGCCTTTCACATGCATATACAGCGTGAGGTGGGTGATCCCTGAGAAGAGGAAGGGATTTATTTCACAGATCTCAGCAAATTGCCTTGGTTTGAGCTGCTTGTCACTCTGAGTCTGTGACCTTCTGTGGATATCGCCCAGACAGTGTTTTTACTTTTTGTATCTTCCAGATGATTCTTGATATCAGATGGGTGGGAAACAGGAATGCTGTGTCCTCACTCTGCTCAACAAACAGGCCTCTCTGAAAAGACACTTCCAAAAGGGGTGAATACTATCTAATCCCCTATTCTATCTCTAAAGGTTGGAGTAGGATCAGAGAATAGTTTTCCTACCTGGGCCAGTCATTCATAAAACAACAGGCAAAACTTGGCTTGCAGCTGGAGATTGTTATCCAAGTCTAGCAGTGATGGTGGGATAAGATCTGGAAACTCTCTCCCCCTTTACACAAGCACACACGGTTTGTGCAAACCCTTGTCTTCCCACCTGTTCTTTCCATCCTTCCTTTTTTTCTGTTTTGCCTTCCCTTTTTCTCTCTCTAGTTTGGGGAAATGGGGTAACCCCTTGTTTCCAGGTTGTCCTCAATAACCACATTAGCTTCCCTCAAAAGCTGATAGGTACAAGAATCCCTCCATCAAAAAAGACTTTATGCCTTGCAGGGTAGGTGTCTAACCTTGTACAGGCTTGAAAGTAACTAGGGTGTCCCAAGAAACATTTCGAGTTTGGTTTTTTAAAAAAATTATTTTTCTGGAAGAAGCTGGGAACTTTCTTCTCCTTAGTGAAAACTGCTGGGTATGTAAATTTTTATCTCTGCTAATTGCTAACATGCATTGCTAAATGGTAACAATTAGCCTAATAATTTGGTCATCACTAGTTTTTTTTTTAAAAAAAAACAGCTTTCCTCATAGTAAATTAGTTACAAAACTTGTGCTGGTGACCGTGTTAAATATTATCAGTAACATCAAAGAAAAGTGAGCATGCATTTCCAGAGTTGAATGCCCTTATCCAAAAAGATACTTGCAACTTGGATGTGCAGACCTGTTATTTCACATGGGTATGTAGATCAGAACAGACTTTGAAATAGTCTCATGCGAACTCAGACATGCTACCTTCTGTATTTGATTTTTCTTTTTTTTTTTAACCTGTAAAGCTTTCAGAGAAATGTTCTGAGACACTTAAGCTTCACCAGTAGGTGTTGTAAGTTGATCCTGTATAAGTGCTCCTCAACAAGACAGCCAATGGACGTGTATAACTATAAACCATTGCGTAAGGAAGGATTCATAAATAGCTGACCTGTAGCTGGGAATGATTTTAAGGTGTAACCTTGAAACTGACATGAATACATGAAAATAATTTTGAAGACTGAGTGACTGGCTATTAGTAAGACAAGATGAAAAATGGTTTTGCCCTACCGGCTGACTTTCTACAGATTGAGGCTGGTTTTCCACAGAGGGGTGTTAGCAAGAAGGATGGGTTATGCAATTTGTTGTTGTAATTTGCATATTTATTCAAGTGCATCTTCCCAGTGACCTCCTAATAGCAGAGCAGTGTCAGATGACAGTGCTTTTGCTGTCACTGAAGTCTGGCAAGGGTATCAGGCTGGCTTGTTCAGGAAATGGGAAGGGGCGGGCTGGGTTCCTGGCCATGCAAAAGCGGTCAGTGGGGCTATAGGAAAAAAACCCGTCTTCCGTGACACAAAAGCGGAGTGTTCATATGTATATCTTTAATTTCATGGAATAGGGCAGAGAGGCTAGGAGAGATGGACAGCAACCCAAGTGGTACCAAGAATCTGGGTCTGGCCCTGGTGAGAGTGAAAATCCTTTATTTGCTCAAGCCAAAGTTCATGAGACTTGCCTGGCACTGATGAGAGCCAGTTTGGGGTACAGCCATAGAGGAGACATCTCTTCTACCACTCTTGCTGCAAACAGTGAAGGAGCAGCTTTCACAAGGGACAGTTGGGGGCAACTGACTCCCCCTCTTGTCTGTGCCATGCACGGCCGGCAAGTTCAGAGTCACTTACAAACTTGCACTTTGGTGTTCCTGTCTTTAACCACTACTGTTAAATGAGATGCACTTCACAATAAGTTAAGATTCCTAAGGAATTGGGGTTTAAGTACTTCATGTTCTTAGAAATTTGGGGAAAGTTGTTATTAATGCAGAAGCTGCTGTAATATGGAGTAGAAGCAATCATCTCCTTTCATGTTCATCAGCAGCTTACAGGATCCAGGGGTCTTTACCTGTTTCCTGATGTATTGCCTGAAGTTTGAAATTTGCTGTAAGGATGACCATCTCTTTAAAACCAAAAACATGTGATTTGTTTGTTTATTTATTTATTTATTTTTTTAAAACTGTGTTCTCAAACTTAGATTCCCTTATTTATATCCATAAATAGGTTGTGGTATTGCATCATGCCAGCTGGAAATTTGAGAAATAATTTTCTCTTATCCAGATTTTGAAATATTCTTGCAGCTCAGCTGAATCGAAATAAAAATCAATTTAAAAAATAATGCATGATGTGTTTACTTCAACCAAAACATTGCAAAGCGATGAACTAGTGGATTAAATACAAATTTGGGAAAATAATGCAACATAAATACACTGGCTATACAGAATATTTTTGAGAACTAAATTTCTATTAGGCTTCTGTTTGAATTTTACTTAAAAGCAGTGCTTTTCAATACTTAGCAACTGTGAACTTCTGCTGGTATGTGGCCAAGGTGAGTCTTCTGGAAAGTCACTCAGCCATAGAAGTAGTAGCAAGTGGAGCAGGAGCAATCTTACTGCAATGTTTCCTTGAAGTTCACTATTTTTTCCTCCTTTTCACTTGTAAAAATGCATGCTTTTTATAGAATTAGAGTATTATTATCCTGTACTATAGAGAGAACTTTTGGTATCCTTTTAATAAATTAATTTAATGATGGAATAGATCTAGATAAGGTATGAATATTTATGCTCAGCAGTTTCTTCCTGGGGTTAATGAGTTTTGACAAATTAGATAATGTTTAAGGTTTTTAAGTACAGTCTTATTTTCAAAATAACATCTTACTCTATAAACATGGTTTCTGTCTTGTTTTGTCACTGATGTCCTTGCCAAACAGATTTCAAAAGTGAAACACAGAAAGATAATTCCCTGTCTCTCTTTGTCTAGATTATCAGCGTCTGATGACAGTGGCAGAGGGGATCACAACGCTGCTGTTCCCATTTCAGTGGCAGCACGTGTACGTCCCCATCCTTCCTGCCTCTCTCCTGCATTTTCTGGATGCTCCAGTTCCCTACCTGATGGGGCTGCAGTCCAAGGAGGGAACCGACCGCTCCAAGCTGGAGCTGCCTCAGGAGGTCAGTCTCTGCCTTTGGGGTTGCTACTCTGAAATGTGTTATTGATATTTGTGTGAAACCCTGCTGGAAAATGCCATGCCCAGTGTTAGGAGGCTTCTCTGGCACCGTGAAGACTATTTGCCAGGAGGAGTGAGGTGGTGGGAGAAGTCTCTGCAGCCCTTCTCTTGTCTATTTATGAATTTAATGAGCACTGCTAATTCCACTGACTTCTAAATGCTTCTTTTTCTGCTTCTTGCTGTGACACAAA